TGGAGCCAAAGGAGATCAGGTACCATTACAAATGAGTCTTTCATGATTTTCGATATAAACCATTTCCAGTAACTCAMCTTTAATTGCAAAGAATTAGAAGTACAATATGGTGAATTTGCGTATTGTCTTTCTTTAGGGTCCACTAGGACCTATGGGAGAACCAGGAAGCGTTGGCGAGACTGGACCAGTTGTAAGTTTTACATACTGCACAGTCATTAATATGTGTTTAGGACTGTTCAATGATTTTTGGCAAATTCAAATCTTAGGGAGCCCGAGGTAGCCCAGGACAAGACGGACGAGCAGGAGATAGGGTAATGTAGGCTCTGTGGTGTTGATGTTTTGCATTAGAATTCAGTGGYAAAACGAGTTGAACTCTCCTTGCCCTTGCATATGAAATGAAAGTACGTCTTGATATATATGTGAAAGTGCAATGAGAGTCYACTGCGACCACTGCCAACTCTGGAAAAAAATATACTGAAATATTACCATAGCATTAAAGGAAAACGAACATACACGACATGCGTGATCGATTGCGACTATCCGGCGACTATCCTTGATAGTCTCGTTATTTGATTTTCGTAGGGAGCTCCTGGAAAACAAGGAAAACGAGGAGCAATTGGAGACAAAGGCTCTTCGGGTAATACTGGATCAGTAGGACCAATGGGACCAAGCGGTGTATCTGGCAAAAGAGTACGTTCACAAAAGATCTTATTAATAGAAGTTGCTTGTTTTGTTTGTCCAGTCACTTTTGCAAGTGTAGCSTGTTCTGAACTAGATTCTCATCTCTATCTTTCCAGGGTAAACCCGGCTCCGTTGGCTCTCCTGGCAAACCGGGGCCTGCAGGACCTAGGGTACGAGTAYAGTGTACTGTGCATGTTGCCATTTGTGATCATTGCCGTAAGCTGGCTGTAATGATATATTTTCCTATATTCTACTTTGATAACTATTTTAGGGAGCTCAAGGTGTGTCTGGTTTCACTGGAGCTGATGGTGTTCCTGGACAGAAGGTTAGACCGTAAACATTGTCATAATTTTACAGCAATGCAATAATGTCGCATTCCAGTATTGCTATGTCAGACGTGCTCTAAATTTAATTCAGGAGGCGATAAAAAAAACCCTTTTTATTGTGTAGCGGATCAAGGAACTTCATCATATTTCAAGCATSTAAAATGTGTGCATTAATTTAGGGTGAACGAGGACCAAGTGGACGACAAGGTGTTTCTGGTGTGAAAGGCGAAAGAGTAAGGTTTTTGTTATTTATCTAGTAAATATTTGCTTGTTTGTTTTACTTTTTGCTGTTATTGTTGTTGCTCGTGTTTCTGCAGTTGCTTTTATAAGTTAGTATTGTGCGTTTTGTTTATGCGTTTTCATTGCTTGTCGCTTCGTTGTTCTTAAAAAATAGAAAGTTATTTCATTTGTGTCTTTCTTAAACAGGGTGCATTTGGTCGTCCCGGCACTGCAGGGCGAACAGGACAAAGGGTTAGTAGTAATCGTTGATTTATACGGCTTCAATATCTCAAGGCTCATTGATATCTTGTGTTTTTGTAGGGTCCCCCTGGACCTTCTGGAAAACCTGGAAAACCAGGAGCCACTGGAGTACCTGTATGTAACAAGAAACTTTCAATTTTTCTGTAAAAGAAATGTTTCACTTGCTGGATTTACGGTGTTTTACTTCTTCATGGGAACTAAAGCAATCATTTTTTTCATTACTTTATTGATATTTTCATTCATTGACTTGTGACTTTTTGTATCTAATCGCGTTTAGGGCACGCCAGGAGAAGACGGAAGACCTGGTCCTTCCGGGCCTCCGGTAAGAAAATTTACAGTYATCTCTTTAAGAAAAGGAAAACGAATTATAGGAGAAACCATTAAACAATTCTCCTTTTTTTTCTCACCTGCGATTAATTCTRGATCTTTCTACACTTCAGGGAACCCGTGGAATGCAAGGAGCTCCTGGTTTCAGTGGACCGAAGGGATCAACGGTTTGTTCGTTGTTTGTTAGCMAAATWAGATCATTGTATTTCCTTAATGCCTAAGCCTTCTAATTTCAGGGAACTCCAGGCCGTCCAGGAGAACAAGGAACACAGGGAAACCAAGGCAAGAAGGGAGATAATGGCGCACAAGGTGCACGAGGTTTGCCTGGTATTGCTGGAACACCTGTAAGTYGTCAAACGTTTTAAGGGGAGGGATGGGGTTTGGTAGTATAAATGATGTTCATAATTATGTTGATATTAATCAATATCATTTAATAATTGAATATCGACAGGGAAGGGCAGGAGAAAGAGGTGAATCTGGTCTACAGGGTACCCCAGGACCTCAGGTAATTTCAATACTTACAATGTTTTTTGTATCAACTACCAGCAGCATTCAAGACCTTCATTAGAAGACACTAAGACAGCATTAAGATACAGAAACAAGCTAATAATCATTTGTGATTGTTTGTTTCAGGGACCTGCTGGATCCCAGGGAAGACCGGGTGAACCTGGACGACCTGGATCCCAAGTAAGATGCTTTGAAATTCAATAAATAAACATATAAAAGTATACTTCAACGTTGCACCATTTTTTAGGGCCTTGCTGGAGAACCGGGTGCAGATGGGAAATCTGGTGAACAAGGTGAACGAGGCGCACCAGGACCACGCGGTCCAGAGGGACACAACGTAAGTAGAAACACTTGTTGCGTTTATTGGTTATCCTTACGCAATCCTTTGCGTTTATTGGTTATCCTTACGTTATCCTTTCGCAAATACATTTATATGATTTGAATCAATGATCGGATCTCGTTTCTCTAAGAATACAAGATGCACGATGACCTTTTCTTTCTAACTTTTTCWTATTCAAGGGRGCTCCAGGRCAAATTGGGCAACCTGGTTTGGCTGGAGCTGATGGAGCACCAGTAAGTACAGAGACGTTATGTATCGTTAAGAAATGGCATTAGAAATTGGTCGTTCACGTGGATCGCATCGACTAAAATCGATTTGGTATCWTACAACATATTTAATTGGAGACACACACGAACGAGTTTTTGCGACGTCTTCACGAGATTTGGCTAAGGCTTTATATGTTAAATTTTCTTGATTATATAGTATATAGTTATAATTTGTTAATTGTTTGGTTCTATTTAGGGTGACAAAGGACCCAACGGTAACCCTGGTTCACCAGGCGCCCCAGGAGGACTGGTAGGTTAAGGTCATTTCATCTTCCATTGCCTCTAGATAGTTCTTCACTCCTTTTATTACAATTATCATTAGAAATCCACTAAACATTTTGTATTTTCCAGGGTCTGCCTGGTATGCCCGGCGCTCCTGGAATGGCAGGATCTAAAGGAGAAACGGTAAGCTTCTCTATTACTTCATTGCTTACTTCCTCAATTGATAGCTGACAATATTAAAACTGGTCTGTAGAACATTGAATTAATTGTCATCTCTTTGCATTGTCAAGTGCATAAAGACATTTTTGCTTTGAATTTGAAAATCTTTTAACGAAAGGCACATGCTTGAAAGGAAACGATTGCATTTTCTTAATATACTTAAGATATTTTATTGATGTCAAATATTATGTTTTACATTAGGGTGAAAGTGGTCCTATGGGACCTGCCGGTCGAGATGGAAAAGACGGAGAACCTGTGAGTATCTTTGATAGAAGCTACTTTTTTATTCTTATACTATTAATTCCAYACCATTTTCCCTGGGCAATTTGATGTTACATATCTGGGTAATTAACATTAGTGTTTTAAGATTGCATTTTCATTCCGCCTAAAAAGTTCGTTTATTCAAAGCCCGTTTTGTATAAGGTCGAAGACTTTCAATAACCAATCATTTCCTGAATATTCAGAAAGAGGTGGCGACGCTTATTGTGCTTTCTGTTCTAGGGTTCTGATGGACGACCTGGAGCTCCTGGTCAACCAGGGATCCAAGGACCAAAGGTGAGCTCTACTATCAATCAATCTTATTGCTCAATTAGAAGAGAATTGCATATCTTGAGATGAAAAGGTTCAGTGTCTTTATGATTATTCAGTTCAGTGAATATATGATATTTGCTGCTTCATTTGTATCCCAAATGCTGCGTGCTGCAAAATATAACATCATATCATCTATTCTCCGATATCTGTATAGGGTAATTCAGGAAGACCCGGCACACCCGGCCGACCTGGTAAACGTGGTGACGATGTAAGTAAAACGTATCGATGTTAGTAATGATGGAAAACATATCAGGAGCCTTTTTATCACAAAAATTTAAACTTCAAGAAACATTTACAGTCGATTACCTTAGTTTAGGTACACAATGTCATAAAGATATAGGCTCATTTTTGTTTRCTTTTATTTGTTCTTTTACATTTTATGTGATATTAGGAGGTACTATATTATTATTAAGTCGCACGAAAAAGGTGGGAGGAATTGTAATAAATACGTTTGTTGAAATCGTATAAACTGATGCTATTTATCCATCTAGGGACCTCGTGGAGACATTGGACCTCCTGGTATCCCAGGAACACCTGGTGCCCCGGTAAGGACTTTGGTTCAATTCTTAAGTGAGCGTAAATGTTGTGAAGTCCGCGAATTAAAACGGTTTCTATATAACTTGAATTTCAGGGTTCACCAGGACCTGCTGGGCCAGCCGGTGCCAGAGGAAACCACGGAGAGAAAGGTAGCAAGGGAGAACAAGGAGATAGCGGCTCGAAGGGAGAACAAGGAGGAGCTGTGAGTAAAACATGGGTGATTATTTTCAAATAGTGTACTTGTCATAGCTGATGTTCCTTTCCAGGGTATGGCTGGTAATAGAGGTGACAAGGGAAGTCGTGGAAGACCAGGTGGTGTGGTACGTATGCAAAACCCACTTAAAACATCAACCAAATAGCGACCACTGATCATTATCTATCGAATAGGGACCAAGAGGAACTACAGGACCAACAGGCCGAGCAGGACCACAAGGACCACCGGTAACTGATAGACACCCATAACTAACAGRCAATACAATCTGCGTCTAATGGAAAAATGTGCCTAATAGATAAACTTTCCCTATGGCCGTCCAGATATCAAAGTACAATTTTATTTTGTATGATAGGGACCTCCTGGTGCGCTTGGCAATCCCGGACGTCCTGGGATACCTGGAATCAAGGTAGATGCTTTTCGATAGCGAAATGTTCTCAAAGTAAGTGTTTTATTAAAAGTACTGTGATTTAACTATTCCAGGGTGCTGCCGGCACTGCGGGTACTCCTGGTCTACCTGGTTCGCCTGGTATGAACGGACGACGTGGCAAAGATGGAGAACCCGGTCAACCTGGAGAAGATGGAAAGGCCGTATGTTTATGCTTCAATTTCTTTCATTTTCGTTCACTGTGTCTTTACTTTAAATCATTTTACGTTAGGGACAAACTGGATCCCGAGGACTCCCTGGARCTAAAGGAGACGGCGGCTTCCGAGTGAGTATTAATATTGAATATTGGTTAGCATCAAAAAAATATAAATCTTTTTAAACGCCGACTCATCAATGATGTTTTTTTTATTTAGGGTTTGCAAGGACTACCTGGACCGCGTGGAAATATCGGAGAGCCCGGCGTTAAGGTAGATTTAGATCAGAAATTTATAACAAAGGCCGCAAACATTTCTAATGCCACTCAGTTGTATCTATGAATTCATTAGTCAACTTGCGTTTGACTTACACCTTCATTAACCAACAGGGTGATAGAGGAAATGCTGGTGTTGATGGCACAGATGGACTCAAGGGAGCTCAGGTAACTACTCTACTACACAGTTTTGTAACTCATTCTAAAATGCTTGACACTGATATTTCTGTATTGTTTTTAAGGGATTCCCTGGACCTCGTGGCCCTACAGGTCCTCCTGGACTCGATGGAGCCCCTGTAAGTATAACTATTGTTTTCCATTTCAAATAWGAAATGGTCCGGTTCAGGAGATATTTGTCTAAAACACTGATGAATTCCKTGGCCTTYAAAMATAATATGGCTGTTAATGTCTAGTGTTGTTCATTGTCAAACGATTATTATTTTGACTCTTTTTATCCCTGTGAAAATTGTGTACATCTTTAGGGTGACGATGGTGCTCCCGGTACTCCCGGCGCTAACGGTTTGGGGGGCAGAAACGTAAGTGCTTAGGTAGAGAAACTCGCTTTCCCTATGGGCATTACATGTGGAACTGTAACAAAATGCACTTATTCCTTCAGGGAACCAAAGGTCCAAATGGACAGCCTGGAAGTCCAGGAACGCCAGGTAGCATGGGACCACCTGGTGAGCCCGGTCTKAAAGGCCCAACAGGAGCTAATGGTGAAGAGGCGAGTTCCAGTCGCGATGTTGATGCTGTTCTTATATTGCAAACCTAAGTGAATTAAAACTACAGATTTGACATTCATAATAATCATTGTTATCTCGTTACTCTTGATGACAGGGCGAAGTTGGTTCACCTGGAGCAGCCGGWCGCCGTGGACCTCGTGGAATTCARGTATGGYCACTGTACAATTTTGAATCGATTACGATCACTCTGTGAGATTTTGTCCTCGAACCGGGAATTGAACCGGGATCAATAAGATAAAAATAGCTAATTGCTTGTCATTCCATTTATCTTACATTTCCAGGGTATTGCAGGCGTACCAGGAGAATCTGGTGCCYCCGGTCTAGAAGGTGCTAAGGTAACGACCATAGCATAAAAAGTCCAAACGTCGCATGTGTGTGTGCTTTTTGTTTGTTTGTTTGTTTTTGTTTTCTTAATGTGTATCAACTCRCGTTTCCCCTGGAATTTAATTGAAATTTGTAGTTTTGTAATTTGAACTATGTTGTTCAATCATTTTTTATAGGGAGATCATGGATACACTGGAAAACCTGGCAAAATAGGACCAAACGGAATTGATGTAGGTATCAATGATGCAACAGCGTTTTCAGTAAAGTGGAGAYATTATAAAACTATCGAAATGAAAAGTTTTTTTTTTCCTCAGAAAACGTGTTATGTAGAGGAGTGACTTTCTATATAAAAAATAATTATCAATCTACATACTAGGACTGGTGTATTACGCGTTACATTTTAGAATATTCTCAGTAACTTCGTTCTCGCAACGTTGCCAAAGACATTGCGGGAGATTTGCAAACTGTAATAGCTGCTGTCAAGAAATTGTGCAGTGGCCTCTTTGATTCCATGTCCTAAACTTGCGAGGAAAGTTTCTGGAAAGGCGATACAATGTGCACTATTGTTGCAATTTGCTACGATGCATTACGCGTATAAAAACTCGAGTTTATAATATCAAGAGTTTATAATATTAATGACTTGWGAACATGGTAATATGTGTTGTCTTAGTTAACTTTCTCTCTTATTTTAAACAACAGGGTGAAAGGGGKACTGTAGGAGAAAATGGTACTCAAGGAAAGAAGGGACCAGATGTTAGTATCATAATGTAAATACATTCAGGCAACTACCTCAAAGTAGTAACAGCGGTTTCTTTATAGGGTGCTCCCGGACCTGCAGGACCTGCCGGACCTCAGGGCGATCCTGGAGTAGACGTAAGTTGTTGTTATTGTTCCAGTTGTCAAGTGGCTATTGCTGTTTAGTATTACCATACTAGTGGACTATTGCAAATCCTTCGTTCTGATTGACTACGCTACTCGGGGTCTATTTTCAATAGTCCTCGACTAGCGAAAAGCGACATATTTTGCGTATTTTTAGCAATAAAAACACTTAGTTATTTATATATTTCGATYATTTTTTGTCCAACTAGTATGGTAATACTTTCGGTCGAATGGGCTATCAGCTCGTAGTCCACTCGCCCTCAAGATCTAATTGTTAATAATCATATAATTATCTGTGAAATACCTATATTCTCTTTTGCGTGAAGTGTTGTTAGTTTTACTAGTGAAAGTATATTTTATAGAAATGTCACAAGAACGACTCTATTTGGAGTACGAAAAAAATAATTTAATCGAGTAATTAAGTGATTATATTGTTGCTCAATTTATTGTTCTGTTTGCTAATATCGTTGTTGTTGTTGTTGTTGTCGTTGTCGTTGTTGTTGTTGTCGTTGTTGCTGTTGTTGTTGCTGTTGTTGTTGTTGTTGCTCTTGTTGTTGTTGTTGCTGTTGTTGTCGTTGTTGTTGTTGTTGTCGTTGTTGTTGTTGTTGCTGTTATTGTTGTCGTTGTTGTTGTTGTTGTTGTTGTCGTCGTTGTTGTTGTTGTTGTTGTTGTTGTTGCTGTTATTGTTGCTGTCGTTGTTGTTGTCGTTGCTGTTGTTGTCGTTGCTGTCGTTGTTGTTGTCGTTGTTGTTGTTGTTGTTGTTGTTGCTGTTATTGTTGTTGTTGTTGTCGTTGTTGTTGTCGTTGCTGTTGTTGTTGTTGCTGTCGTTGTTGTTGTCGTTGTTGTTGTTGTTGTTGTTGTTGTTATTGTTGTTGTTGTTGTTTTATTTTATCATCAAGTTGTTGTACTTAAAGTGATTATTTATTTTTACAGGGAGCGATGGGACCAAAAGGTCCCGCTGGTGAACAGGTTTGTATCTTTTTTGATGAATTTTCAGAATATATATTTTTTGATTTGCGAATACAACAATGAAAGACTCCGCATAAGCTAAACATYTACTGCACTRCAAGTTCCCCATTTATGATACTAAACCCTTTTTTCGTGTTCCGTGTGTTTATTATCCTTCATATATTTCTGTTTTTGAGATATAATTTCATGACTAACATTTTATTTTGTTTGTTTCCGCTTAATAGGGAGAACGTGGACGAGCCGTGAGTATTTTGAACTATTTATTTCTTATCAATGATTGGCTAATTTCCCTAGTATCAATGTAACTAAATGATTGGCTGAGTGAAATGTTGCGTTTTTTTGACGCTGATGTGATTTTTTGATTTACTGAAWTATTGWTTGACGGAAATCGAAACTGAATGAGGGAGAAATGGATGGATTGATGGATGGTTTGGATAAGACTTTTCAACATCATTTTTGCTAACACTAACGTTATTCATTGTATTCTTGTAGGGTACCGATGGTCGATTGGTAAGTACAACTAAGATTTCCATGATATGTGATTCCTGGCAATTTATTTCATGGTCTACATTTCACGATTGATTATGTTTGAAATATGAAACAATCATTCCATAATAATGAGAGATAATTAATTATTCATATAAAGCCATGTTAATTTGTTCTTTTAAGGGACCTCCTGGACCTCCTGGACCCCCTGGCCCACCTGTAAGTAATAGAAAAAGTATCTCATTATGTTAAACTAGTTAAGTAGTTTTCTTACTTTTCACTGATTAATATATTAGTAATTTAGGTTCCATTAATTTACTTTTTTCTATTCTTTAAGGGYGAACCCGGACGTGTCGTCATGAGCACAGTAAGTCGTTAATGCAACTGTTTTAGTAGTTAAAATACACCCGGTTATGTACGATGGATATACACCACCTTATTGCAAAAACGTTATCCTGAAACTTAGTGATTTAGGAGTATAGGAATACATTAAAAACGAAAGAAAAATTCATTCCTTCAAAACTAACGTTTTCTTGGACACCCTTGTAGTAGGCCACCTATGGTAGTTGATCAAGGTATACATCTTCCAAAAACAGATTAGAGCATCTTCGTTAGGGATAACTTACAGACCTCAACAATGATTGAAAATATATTTATTTACTCTACATTTGTTTTTAGATCCACCTTCAATCTCAAGCTAATAAAGGACCATTCCGTTTATACCAAGGACAGCAACAAGCATCCCCAAACAACATTATGGATCAGATGGATGTCTCGGTAATCATCAAAACGTTTATACGGTTGTATCAAAGAGTTGATTATATGTAGTAAGGGCATCGAGTTACTTTGGACCTTTTTTCACGACTGAACTAGTAGAACCCCACAAAAAGAAGATATGAAGTGAGAATTGGTTAGAAAGAATCTTGTGAGATTATGCTCGACTATGCATCGTGCAGTTTGTTTCCTTGCCCCAAATCATCGTATGTTATAGCAGTGCATTCTCTCTTGTCAATGCAATGTTTTTATCTCTTTTATCTCACAGGTCAGTGAACAAATAAAATCATATGTTAAAGTGATGACAACCATGTTAGGAAATTACAAGAAGCAAGACGGAAGTAAGATGCGACCAGCACGAACATGCCGTGACCTTAAGATCGACAATCCTGACAAAGAAGACGGTAAAACATGCTTTCTTTCCTATTATACGTTTTCACTTTCTTTGTTCTGAGTGACTCAACACCGAGCTTGTGATATTGAGGATATTTCCGTTTATTTGCTAGTTTCTTCCGCTTCTGTATTCTACTATATTTACTTGTCATTTTCTACTGTTTCTTTATTAAAACTACTGTATTATTTTGATCCCAATAAGGCTTTTACAAACAATTTTTTCACAGTAGTTGGTATTTATGGTCTTCTATTAGATTTGATTTGATTTTGTGTAGTTCTCGTGGTTGATATTGTTCTTGTTGTTGTTATTTTTTTTTTTATAATATTTGTTATTCAGGAATGTACTTTATTGATCCTAATGAGGGATGTGCCTCCGATGCACAAAAGGTTTGGTGTTCCTTCAAAGAGAACGCAACGTGCGTCTTCCTCAACAGGAATCAGGTAAAATAAGCTCCAAATGTGTCCTGCACTTCAACAAAATGATTATCAATATATCAATTCTTAGTCTTGAACTCCTCAGGAAATGATTGAATAGGGACATCGGAGACGGGGGGGCTAGGGGGGCTATTTTTCATTCCGAAAATAAAAAATCGTTTTGGGTTTTTTTCTTGTTTTGTTTTGTTTTTGTCTTAATGATAAAATACTTAGATCGCTTTCTTATGTTAGTAACCTCCCCCGCTAAAAAAAGACGTCTCTGTTTATTATGATTGTGTGGTATTTTAGAATATTTCCAAGAGTGAACTTAATTTGGCTAAACAAGACGAAGAGAAATGGATCGCAGATGACATAAAGGTTAGTCATGGTGCAGTTATTATTGATGAAGTATAATTGAGAATATTGCAACTTAAACTGCTCTCTGATTTTATTTTTTAATTAATTTTTTTTAATTTTTTATTAATTTCAATTATCAACTGCGTAATTGTTTGCTTGCGGACGAGTTTGTATTATCAATAGACCTMTGAAGCTTCTACGTCATATACCGTATGCGCAATGCATTGTGGGATATGTTTGGGACAAAACATGGCGGATTTCTTTTGTTTTCTCSAAAAAMCGATCCAACGATGCATTGCAAATCACGAACATGACGTAAAAGCTTCAGAAGTCTATCTGTTTTATCTTTCGCCGTTTGTCTAACTTTTCAATCCGTTACATTTTAGATGGAATACAAACTTGACTATGGACAGCTGAAGCTTTTGAGTCTCTCTAGCAAGACAGTGACACAGAACATAACGTATCACTGTAAAAACAGCCAAGCCTGGGGAAGATCCAGCTTCATCAAGATTGTGACCCAATCTGATGAAGAATTCTCCCCCATTAGCACATTGAAACCAAAAGTACTTAAGAATGAATGCGAGGTATGCAACCAAAACTTTTGTATAGTAATAATATCATACTTAAGTGCCTCGAAACAAAACCTTGTACGGAAAGGTCGTTACCAAAAGACGACTCGGTTATCTAGTTTGAAACTTTTTAAGCGGAATGTGCAACATTTTGCAATTTTCTTAGTWTTCTTTTTAGGACACATGTTTCAAATATTTCGTGATGTTTTATAAAATTTCGTTGTATTTACATTCCCTTTTTCTGTTTTAGTTGAAAGATAACACTTGGCGTAAAACTGTATTGGAAATTAARACSAAGAAAMTMGAGAGACTACCRATAGTCGATATCTCACCATCCAGTATGGACGACAATAGTGATTTCAAGATTGAACTAGGCCCAATATGTTTCGCGTAAGCACGTGACTCTCACGTGACAAACACGTGATTTCAAATAAAAATATCACCCAGAGTCTTTCTTTGCCTGTACATTGTTTTGTAATATGATATATATTTAGGACATGGAACTTGTATTGCGGAGGAATTTCTATGTTTAGATGTCTTAATAAAARCCCAACGTCTTTTTAGATTTAATTGTTCAGTGTGACCCTTTCAATGTGGTAACTTTTTTAATAAACTTCAGAACTGTTTTATATTATAAAGACGTTTTTAGAGGGAAAATATACAAGGTAAACGAATGTTTATATATATCAACATTTTGTATTAACATGATCAGTTTTAATTATTAGTAATAATTATATTAGCTTATATTAAGGAAACTGTGACTCCAGCCAGTATGCAGCTTGATTTTGAACTTTTATTGAACATTTAGATTTGAGGACACTTATCAATATTACGCAAAAGCTGCGCATTATAAGTTGACTTGTTATTATAAACARATATATCAATATTCAAAGTACAACAAATATATCAATATTCTAGTAGTACTTCTGTTGTTCTATCGTTAATTTTTAGTAATCTTTACTTTCCAGTTTGTATATGAAAACTCACCTATAWAATAAACGCCATATTGGCTGATTTTCGGACCTCCGAGTAAGACATGGAAATTACAATACTGAAAAAACTAATTGTAGAAGCGATTAAAACATCCATTTTTTTCTGAAACTCTTCCTTGCTTCTCCATTCACGGTATAATTGTTCGAGTGTTGTAGCGAGAACTTGAAAAGGTAGTTGTGGGATGGTTTCAGTTTAACACTGATTTGCAGTAAAGATTATCTAGTCGTAATGACACACAGTCTGCAGTAAGACGAGCTTCTGGATCTTCGTCCCAGCATTCAGTGATTGTGGTCCAAAGATGATGCACGTCATTCTACAGAAAGAAAATTATTAAGAGTGATATAGTATAGTTAGGGACATTAGATTCAACCAATAAAGCACGCAGAGTGATAGTCATCGTTCASTTGTCCATTATAATTGTTCCCCATACTGCTAGTTAGTTTGTACCTTTACAAAAATGTCAAATAATACTCGCCAAGTTATCACGAAAACGAAAGCGAGAACGTCATTTACCATCATGCATTGCTCGACTAAAAAAATGGCGTCACTCGACTTGCCTGTTCATCACGCAAGGTCATCGAAGGTGAACAGTAAAGAGGTAATCGCTTTATTAAAAGTTACTCACTGGCGTTGATTTGTCCATCAATAGTTTTGGCTTCCTTGGCCTACAGCCATTTTCTGAGACCACATCTATCATCTCAGCAAGTGTTGGGTGATTTCCAACGAGATCTTGGTAAGGCAGCGTGTAATCCATACACGTGCTTTGTCCTTCTGTTAAATAAAAAAAAAACTATACGTAAGTGACAAGCTAAGAAAGATTACCGTAATGATTGCTATGAAGGAGCAGCAATCTCGGTTAAGATCGCATTAAAAAAACTGTTTACAAAAGTGTTCCAATGTGTTGTGATCATCGAATCCAGAAACTAAGAAATTCACCACAGAAAACTTGTATCTAAGGACATAAATGTGATTTTATGAATTCTAGAAATGCTTCATATCATATACTATGAGCTAGCCAACATCTTGAGTCACTAAAAATCGCATACTAGTTCAAAAGGCCTGTTTCCTATATTCTACTAAATGKTTATCATATCATTATGAATATTTATAAGAAAACGTTGATGAAAGAAGTTATCTATTTTCTGCTYTTTTTACATAATCCAAGCTGTGACCACAAACCACCTTTGACATCGACTCGCATCAATTTTAGCCTCCTTTTCCGTACTAAATCCAATGCAGCCAATCATCAACGAGCTCTTTAACTCACGTGACATTTTTGTTGAATAGTTAGACTACTGCCTCATCCCTGATCTGGTCGTTATGAGTGACGAAAATGATTCAAGCTTCTCAAGCAAAGATTTCACGAACAAGGTATGGGAATATAGTATATTATTCGTCTTGACGTSAATGTGGTTTATATTWWAAAGGTGCTTATTTGAACACCTTGGGGTTAGAACAGTTGTACAGGATCTGGTCATTGTGTCCAGTTAGATATCTTGATTTCAATTGATCCGAACAAAGTCTCATCTTGCATTTGAAATCATCGCCTGACATTATGAAAACTCAGTTGAATAGCGTAATGTAATGTGCTACTTACTAGTAATTCACCATAGATACGTACATGTGGAAATATATTTTTTACTGTCTGTTAGTCTGCTACTTTCGTTCAGACGACTTTGATCGCGACGATACAACCACTACATGCAGTTTCAGAACGAAACTACATTTGAGGTTTATAATCTACTCAGCTTTGAAATCCAAATAGACTTTAACCGTCTCTATTATACATCTAACACACTCTAATAGTCCTATTCTGTTGTATTTGCGAATCGATTCATAAATACTTGGCTATAATTTCATGAGTGTAAGTATCCATTATCGTGAGCAGCGTTACTTATATTAGATGTTGCGTGATTTCTCGGTGATTTCGAAAGGACACGCCCTAACATAAAAAAATTCAAATTCTAGTGTAAGAAAATAATAGCTGTTTACAGACGCGGCTTGTGATGAATAGCTTMAYGACAGATGCTGAAATTAATACATTGCTTGTTGCTAACAATTCAGTTAAACGCACAAATGTTTCAGCGCCTGAAACACCCACAGATTCCAATTTAATTGTAATCAATTCCTGGTAGTTTTAATCGATTCAGCAATTATCCATTCCCTGGCTATTTATCACATATTACGATTCTTATCCGAATAGAGCAAGCATCCATAAAATCAATTATTATCGAAGTCGTTTCCTGGCGTATTGCTACTCTTTGAACTTTCGATTAACATTTGATTGAAGCTGGATTTTGGCCAAGTTTCTAATAAGTTTTTGAATGTTTTTTATAAACAATTGATCAATAAAACAAATACTTCACATGAAGTAGTCTTCTGGTGAACTTTCGAGTTGGCCATCTGTTTCCGACTTTAGTCATTACAATCACATTTAGCTATCCATTCATTAGCAATCTACTTTAACCCCCGCTTCATCGATCGACCGGTCGCTCGGTTAGAAAGGTCGGAAGGCAAAACATGTAAGAAGCAATTTGACCATAGGGTATCATCCAGGSAAATCACTATTATTTAATTCTCAGCTAGATTTCGTCGATTTCTCTGCCTCCGAACTGTTGTTCAGTTYTCTATCACAGCCTTTTTGTCATTGTTAATCGATGTGGGTTTGCCGCCATGCTTCTGATTTCAACAAACTTGAATATGACAAAAGGATTATACCTTGTCTTGGTGAGATTTCTAAAACGGTTGAATATGCGGAGTTTTCATTGTGTGTGGCTAGGTCAAGGGCATAGATAATGTCAGATCAATCGTAAGCCCACATTTATCATCAACGGAAAGTTTTTTGGTTTTAACAAACGTCAGTTAAAATTTCCAAGGCATCCGACAGGAGTATTTTTAAAAAGAATCAAGGTTACCAAATTAGATCCACATCCGCTGCAGAAAGACTTTAATTTTTTACAAAGCATTAGCCACAAAAATTGATAAACAGCACAAAATGTATTCTTAAGTAGCCATTCCAATGCTAATAGGTATAAGCTAGATACCTCAGGGTAGTAATACTTACGTCCTAACTGACAACGTGCTAGCATTTCCCACAGAATAAGAGCAAGGGCATAAACGTCAATCTGTTTAAAGGAATCCGGATCTGCGATGTCAAATCGTGCTTCCAGTTTCTCTGGTGCCATGTAACGAACAGTCCCAACCTTAAATATATAGAGATTTTAATAACTGAAACGAATAAATCAACTTAATTAACATAGTAAGRAACGAGTGATTACGTTTAATGTACGTTTAYGCATGCACATTCAAAATGTGCGTCAAAATTTACGCCAGACGTATGYTACGATTTAGATACGTTATTAACGGTACAGTCTCATAKTCATCGTTTTCGTTTCGAAAATTCATAAACGAAACACCTCATTACGTACTTGTCCGTCACGATACAACTGCCGCGAGTAGTCCTTCGTTAATTCCAAGGATAGACCAAAATCAGCAATGACGCAAGTTCCATCMCCCTCTATGAATACATTCTTGCTTTTGAGATCTTGGTGTGCAATAGCAGCTTTATGTCCTCTCCCTRGGTAAAGGCAGTCCTTGTGTAGAAAACCTAAGCCTGCAGTTATGTCTTTTGCCATGGYCAGCAAYCTTTCCCAACTCAGATCRTGTGATTTAAGATAACTCTGGAGTGTACCCTGCTCGCAGTATTTAGTAGCTAGCCATATTTGGTTTCCGCCATTGGTYAATGGATTACTTGMGGCCACCAAGACAGCAATATTTTTATGATGGACATAGCAATTGGAATAAATACGGCGTTCATTGGTCCATAAACATTCCTTTTCCACTGAAAAACATTTAACTGCAACGTCAATTCCACTGAAAGTTCCTCTCCATACAGCACATTTATTTCCTTCAGCGATCTTGATTTTGAGTTCCGGAAGGCTGTGTGGTAGTAAAGTGATCGCTGAAACTTTTTTTGTCTTCATGGGAGAGACGTCGTTCACTGGGAATGATTTTCGGTGTTTGGAGCTTCTCTTGGCAGCAACATACATTCCAAGTATGAGCAGGAGCAAGATTAACAATGAACAWAAAATGGCGATGCATCGCACTGAACATGAAGGTGCTTTGCTGTGTCCTGTATAAAAARATGATGACTTTATATTTGTTTTAGCAGAATATGGCGGGTGTCTTAAGCGTATTCTGTTGTCGGGAATGTTTTGAATAAGATGCCTGACAAATAAGTATTGATTACTTTTCCACAAAACAGTCTAAASCACAACAACATGCTTTCGGTTCGTTCAATTTGTTGATACCCATAATGCATCTTGCGAAAAATGGCATACATTGGTTTTTGCATTAATTTTTGTAGCTTTAATTACGTTCTCAGCGCCCCCAACATCTATATCTAGTATTTTTTTATGGAGTTTAGTGTTGTGTTTTGGCTTAACAAAAGTCTGAAACAATCACTTAATTTCGGAGTCATAAACAAATTTGACAGAGTCTTTGAAAAAATACCTGAGGTATATGGRTTTGATTTTGTTTTTTGTGTACTGAGAGCTACGAGGCCATCGCTAGTGATCTTTGGTGATCTTGTAGTTGAAGGAACACTAGTAGTAGTCAACAAAGGAACTTTATTACATCCATTTCTTCGGCATAAGCATGTGTAGGTTCCATTTCTGTTCCACGGTTTACAAATTTTGCTGTATTTGATCCTATGAACACCGTCATAAATGATTAGATTAAAAACTGTCAACAACTAAGCCATTTCTGTAGAATTCTAGAATCTAAGCTGAATGAATTCATTATTTGGTTGTTAGTTTGTTTGCCGTAGACTGGTTGATGGTTAGTTTCTTGTTTGCGCTGTTTGTTTGGTAGTCTGGCTGGTTAGTTGGTTACAGCTTGTTTGCGCTGTTTGTTTGGTAGGCTGGCTGGTTAGTCGGTTACAGCTTGTTTGCGCTGTTTGTTTGGTAGGCTGGCTGGTTAGTTGGTTACAGCTTGTTTACGTTGTTTGTTTTGTAGACTTGTTGGTTGGTTTCTTGTTTACGTTGTTTGTTTGGTAGACTGGTTGGTTGGTTCTTGTTTGCGTTGGCTTGTTCGGGTAGGCTGGTTGGTTGGTTATAGCTTGTTTACGTTTTTGTTTACGTTGTTTGTTTGTTAGGCTGGCTATTTCCTTGTCTGCTTTACTTATTTAGTGTAGAGATTGGGCCGGATGTTTGGTTATGAGATTGTTTCAGTATTTAGTAAGCACGATTGACTGATTAGATGTTACCTGTCTTCCTGAGGAGGAAGGGGAAAGCACATAGCCAGCATCCCTGTCCCTTTGTAAGTCGGAGTCCACGATGCGATGCAAATATCAGTGTTTTGTTGACATTTTTCCAGCTTCATTTTGGGACATTTCGTACAACTGGCACTTTTTGTGTTACACACAGCGTTGCAGGACATACAATACCGTGTGCCATTGACACCMAATAAAATTACTGGTAAGAAGAAAAACATATTAATGTCAGGAAATAGTCAACCTCTACCATAAACTAATTTACCGATTCTCTTCAAACTAGAGAGTTTTAAATCAAAGTTAAACTCTTAACAGATCATAACAGTTCGAGTTAGGATATTAAAGCRTTTCCGACAAAAACCTCTAAGACAGATCGCAAGGAACACAAAATTATAGGGATTGCTGCAGCAGTTTAATTTGTTCTTGCATGCGTCGTAATACTGCAGATTATATTTCCATCAAATGTAATAAATAGCATAAATAGCCTCTTGATATAAAAGTATTAAAAAATTACCTAGAAAAAGTTTCAAACTTTTCAAAAGCTTATAAGTTATGCAAGTAAAAAGAGAGAAMACGATTTCTAGCTTTTCAAAATATTTAAGTACCGTCCGTAGGAGTGGTGTAGTATCAAAACAGTTTGAGAAGTCCCCTTGTTTTGATGTTTAAATGTCTAAATCAAACTTATACAATGATAAAACAGTGGGTGGGAGTTCAACCGGCTCCTTTTCAGGTTTTAAAACATGAAATAATAGAATTAGCTAATCTAATGTCAGTATTTTAGACAAATACAAATCTGACATTTTTCCACCTKATCAACAAGTTATTTAACAGGTTGAGACCTCGTGTCCGACTCCAACAAAATTTAAAAATTACTATTAGACTAATATCAATCTACTTACCRCAAAAAGTACAAAAAGCTAAAATATTCATTTYATGTCCCATGAAGAAGAAAAGCACACTCATTCAAACTGGTTGATTTAAACAATTTCTTCTTCTCACTTGCTTTACTAAAAGTTACACAGTGTAGTTCTTTTGTTTTCGTTAGCAAGCTCTTTCAAATTACCCTTCATTATTGAGCATTGTTGATAAACAGATGAACGYCGTTGTTATTCTTGTTAGAGACCAAGGAACCTTTTGTTTAAATTTCAATAATAATTACTATGTTTTCAAAGTAAAACGTGGTTGTTGGCTGGAAGAACGAGTAAAGTTAACTGAATCACACGCCTACTCAGTGTAATGTTGGTATAGTTTGTGTAGAATTTAATTATGATTTATTACTAATGATGTATTTTATGTCAGTGTGATACTTTACTTTATTTCTATATTTTTACGTATCATTCTTCACTTTACTTCATCTATTTAGCAATGCTATTTTTTATATATAGTATAATGCTTTATTAAGGCAGATAAGTGAGCCAAAAAAAAAATAATGTGACCAAGTTCACTGCAGACTCTGGCACCAAAGCGTAAGCTAACATTAGATTTATATATATCCATTATTTTAGAGAAAAATGGGTTTGTAAAGTTTTGTTAAGTCAAGCCAACCCCTGACACACTATTTCTACATTCCAGGCAAAGTTTAAGAGAATGCAAAACATTCGTACTTTTTAACTTTAATCATACTGCCAAAACAAACTTTAATTCTAAATTTTTGTAGTGATTTCATCACTAATGTTATCGTCAAACTCATTACTGTAGATACAGTACAATTCAGTCATTACAGTAATCTATTAGCCTCGTGTKGCGTATCAATGCTTTCATGATTACAAAGGAGTGTTTGTTAACAATAATTAGCATGACTATTGTCAGAGAAAACAATGGTTATTAATGTTATTAATGGCTGACACGTGTGGTTCGTAAAATGTAAATCTGGTGGTCATTTGACGTCTATTAAGTGGAATACTCTTAGCATGTGACTTATCAGACAGACCAGGCTAGGGTATATGTGCCCATACTTGGTAAGATATCTGATCAGGTTTTTTTCGGTACGAAATCGTTCTAGTTTTGTATCTCTCTCAAAGTGCTACTAGAATAAAGTTAAACAACAAATATATAAAACCTAACGAAAACAAACAAACACGAAAACGATTAAGGCATATTTGAAGTAACACTTTTTATGTTTAACTCTGATCTGAAAAAAGTTTTGTACTGAAAATTGTTTTACGTGTAATAGCTCTTGATTGATACTTTAAAATGCTCTAAAAGCCCATACCATGGACTCAGAATGGATTTAGTCAACCGTATATTGATATAAAGCCGTTGTTCTCCTAAAAGACATTTCCAATTGTCACGTGACATATAGTCCGTGCCTGCACGCGGAACATTCTGTTATGTCCAAGAGAATCTTTTTAAATGTCTTGGACAACCTTTGAGATCGGTTGTTTATAGGAAAAGTGAAACAAAAGCTCGTCTTAAAATCAGGATTAAAGAGAAAAAGAATTTCGKTAGAAAAGGACACGAAAAAAGGCATAATTCACCCAGAAACTAAACAAGTACTCACGTTGTTGAGATGTTGTTGACAGGCACAATAATTGATGTATTTTCCATAGAATATCCTATATGTAATTGATGCTTATACAAAGAATTGACAAACGACAAATGGACAATCTTATACCACGGGAATCTCCGGAGAAGTGRGGGTGAGATATCACTCAAACATTTTGGTTGGATGAAAGAAAGAAAACTAAAAACCCACTTTCACTGTGACGCAAGGAAAAGCGAAAGAGGACTTTGGACTTGTTATTCACGTGACCACATCTACACTCAATTACCTTTATCTTGACCTATCTTCGTTAGATATCGCGTCACTCTATTACATTTTATAAAACAACTTTTATATAATTACGTACTCATTGATTGATTGAAGTATAAAAAAACCGCCTATAATATATGAGAGCATAGAAACACGGCTTTCAAGCAAAGACCTAATATTTTATAAAAGCGTCAGAAGATATTTTCCGTGTTTTCATTCTTGGTTAGAAACACTTAGGATTGTTKRAAGGAAACTCGATACAARCRYACGCTTCCACTCGCTTTTACATTYAAAACTTTTCGTTTTATCCAGACAACCCCAAGTTTTTAYATATAACAGAGAATGTAAACACGGTAAATATCTTCTAATGCCTTAATTATTCTTTTTTTTTTTTTCAATCATTGAGGAATTTGCATTATTTTTAGCTCATGGATGGCTAACTACAAAGGAAGTTTATAAACAAATTTWGAAGTTTTGTCTTCTATGTCAATCATTAAATACCTTCGGAGATAACAAAAATAATTTGAATTATTTAAGCTTTATGTAGGAGTTGTCTTTGCATATGCAACCTTACGGCTTCCAGGTTTTTGGAAGAGACGTTTTCTGTAGTGCGTGCTGAATATAATTTTCTTAAAGTATTGTTGCCCAATCTTTATGGTGTCAGTTTTACTAAATTTTCTGCCCATTCACATCCATGCCATTATATTAAGCATGTTTTTAGCCTGAGTATCAGGCTCTCTGGAAGGGGTTTAGGGCGGAGCGAGAAAGGAGAGAGAGGCTCTCTCTCCTTTCTCGCTCCGCCCCAAACCCCTTCCAGAGAGCCTGATACTCAGGCTAGCATGTTTTCTAAATTTCATTCTTTTAATTAGTTATTTTCCGTTCAATATTCCACGTCGTCTTTTTTTTGACCCTTTCTTTTAATTATTGTTTGACATTTACCTCTCGACAACTGCAAACAATAAGCGAGATGTCGACTTTTCATTTCCCTCTATTTCTTATAATGCAATTTTTCTAACTCGTCAAACTGTGTTTTATTGATATGTGTATGTACTCGATTATCACATAATTAACGATGAATATCATAAGATATATTTTTAGCGTTTTCATCCATTGGCAGAATGCATTGATTTTGTTTGACATAGTATTTCCAGCAGGGGACTGGATGAGATGCAGACACGTTTGACAATACGTCTAGGATTTCTTTCTCAATCCCGAARTTGATGTGACAGCAGGGAAAAAAACTTTGGAAGCGACAGTCTAGACACGGCACGCGTTGATAACAATGAAAAAACAAAGACTTCGCTGAGAAACCCTACTCCAGCACTGAGAACTCTCGACACATTCATCGTTCGTCTCTSTTGGTATTCTTTATTGAGTGCGCAACCGAGCTATATGTGGTTTAAAAACATATATGCCGTCATTTATAATGAGGAAATCTAAGGTGAGACTTATATTTGTATGTAGTATCATTATTCTTAGTTGTGTTTGGGTTTAATTTCAATTTTTGATTTCATTTACCCAATAAGACTCAATGTAGTTGAAAGAGATAGAACTTACGTTGACTTAAGCAAGATGCCGGTCTGTACAAGCCTTCATTTTACCACTAAAATCAATGATTACGTAAACTGTACTAGACTCAAATAGACAAATATTTCTAAGAAAGCTCAAGCATTATTATTTTACCTGGAGTAATGTACATGATGAAGCCCACCAAAACCGCAGCTAGAAATTTATTGTTCATCTGTGTTGCTTACTCATAAAGTAGCGGTTTTCAGATTTTGCTTCAAAGGGAGACAAATTTCCTTCTTTCGTCGTTTTTCTTCTCAAATCCCTTTTGAGATGCTTTCTCTTCTGCCTTTCTTTTCTTTCTTTTATTTGTTTTCTTTTTCGATTGYTTTCGTCTCTGTTTTCACTTTCTCAGGAGAAGAAACTTTATCAGTAAGATACTGCATACAGTATCTACATCCAGCCTCGCAAAAGGAAGATAGAATTGTTTTGCTTCTTGTAACTCCGTAGAGTTAGTTTTGTCTTTWAAGTAGGGTAAACTTCCGATGTCGGCTTATACTGTTGTTGAAACTGTTTGGACATATCRAYTCACCTTCTGACCTCGTATCGCAGAAAATCTGGTAAAAAAGTTMGAGGCAAAAGTGCCGACTATATTTGTTCAAGCAAAGTATTTGCAAAACAATAAAAAGTAATAAGGAGAGATATGAATTTGTTATCGCACAACTGAACCAAAACATTATTACGCMGACTTCGTTTATAATTCTCATTTCCACATCAATAGCGATCACATGTATTAGATCACTTCATATAAAGATGGATTCCMGTTTTGCTTGGTTCTTTCACTGCTTTATTGTAAGTAGATTTAGATTTTGGTATATCGAGACTGCTGTATAAATGCTATAGTGACGGAGTCCAGGAAATTACAAAGGGCGAAGGTGGCTAACTCGAGATAAAAAATTAAATGGATATAGATTTCAGGCTTCGGAATGTGAAACATTTCTTTCAGATAAATGCTGCCTTAAGTTTTTTTAGACTTTACTCATTTATTTATTTATATTATATAATTTCTACTTAAAAAGGGGTTGGCTCTAACCACCCTAATCACCTCAAACTGCAAATATCATGCAAAAAAATAAAAGTTACATGAGTTGATCATTTTTTGAGGTAACTGCRCRGGTCCTTTACCAACTGGGTGCCAAGTCGTTATTCTGTGCTCGAGTAAAATATCTCAGYAGAAAAGAGGTAAAGTACTGTAGCGCACAGAAAACCATGGAAAATTAGATTTAGCCAGGACGACTGGATTGATTTTCTGAAATTGTCCAAGTTCTATGTGTGTTGCCATACAAAGTAACGCATAYCATCTCAATACTTTTCTACGTCTCACCATACTCTTTGTAGTGCTRAATGTGCGCACRGGAAGTTCACGTGCGACTKGSAATTATTGATTGCAGGGGCATTTGCATTCACCAAGCAAAACTGGACGGAGGCGGGAAAAGCTTCCAATGTTCAAGATGTTTAGTTATCTTGWTATTGCTATTGTTATTGATTTGCGATTGGYTCTGTAAGGCGGTTGTATTGAGTCGATGTTTTGGAGTCCGTGACKTTCTGTATTAAATGCATACGTCTGCAGCAGGAAACACTTTGAGTCTGAAACGCGCWGATGTCATAACGCTGCCACCACGTGAAGGGGGTGTCTTAATGCTGGCGCCAAACCATGCACTAAAACGACACGTATTTGCATCAATCAAGATAACACGCCCCCTCTAGATCTGGTAGCTTCCCAGATGAAAGCGAAATATAATCATATCATCCAAGCAGAAAACCCCTGCTGTGTGACAGGGAAGATGRCAGGTATAGATGAATTATGCAATGTAAGGAAAATCGTTGACATTCAGAGCGTTGAATCCAGAAACTGGCAAAGCRGTAGATTCTGCTGTATGCTAGCAGTTACAGTTACTACTCAATGACGATATGTTCTTGCACAACAAAGGAGAGTAGTACACACATAGGATCATCTGTACACGTGACAGTTCAAGTCGTTTACGGATGGATTCATAGCGTTCCATAGGATGAGCTTTTCGGTTTATGCTCTCCTGGTTTCTTTATTGAACTTCCGCAGCTCTCTAATGACAATGAATGAATAGCGGCGCAACTAAAGCAAGGTTGGACATACATGCTTGAAAAGATATTGGGACAAGCGGCTTCCTCTTTGGGAAACTCCAACATCTCGGTAATAAAGCTATGCCTATCCAAGGAGGGGCATTGCAATCTTGAAGGCATTGGCATTGCCATATATGGTATGGTGGATAAGAAATGMTAACAGTTGGATATCTAAAAGGGATAGCAGTTCAACACATTCAACATTGCCATAGARGCATGAAGTGCAATGAAATAGAACACGTGACCTTTACTCTCTGTTGTTAAACAAAGGCAATGCTATCTTAGCTGATGGCTAATAAGTAGAATAGGAGGAAGATTTGTCGTAATTTGCTTTGAATCAGATCAAATTACAAATGATATTAACAATATTGTGTAGACCCAGTAGTAAGCTCGATTTTTTTTTTCTTGCATCCATTTTATATTCAACACTCCAGTTTCGAATTCAAAGCGAATAACCGCTGTTTTATTTGACAGCAGATTCTCTTACGCAAAGAACTTACCAAACACAAAAGAAAGCACGAGAAAATGTTGCTTGTACAATAGTGCTAACAATTTAAATTTTCCCCGAGTTGAGGCTAACCCTGTATTCCCAGAAGGCTCATACCTTAGGTCTCATGGGAATACAGRGTTAGTCTCAACTCGGGGAAAATGCAAATTTTGAAGTCTATTGTAATAACGACATTTTCTCGTGCTCTCTTTTGTGTTTGGTCAGGTCTTTGCGCAAGAGAATCTGTTGTCAAATAAAGCAGCGGTTTTGCGCTATGAATTCGAAACTGGAGTACTGAAGGCATGCATAAGTCCGCGGCTGATTTTCATATCTTGGAACAGTTTGAACTGCATTAGTATTATCAATATATATAACACTATTATCATCATCATTATTATTAGTATCAGTGATTATTCTTGCAATATCTTTTTATTCACTAATAGCATAAGTTACTAGTATGAGTATTGTTTTTGCGAGCATTTATTATTGACATTTTTATTTATTTATTGTTATTTATTTTTTTTAATTTTTATTTATTTATCTTTATTTATTTTATTCATTTATTATTGACATTTTTATTTATATTAGCATTATTGTTTTACTAGAGTGAAGGCATTGAACCTGTGAAATAAAAGTAAATACTTAAACTGTAATAGTCAAATAGACACAAAAGAAAACAATGGAATTATCAAGTAATAACATGTAATAGTGAAATATGTATTTCACGGGTTCACTGACTTCACTCTATTGTATATATTATTATTGTTATTATATTATTATTATATAATTTAAAAATCTCTATTATTACTAAAAATATGTAAGCAAGAAGAAAAATCTCAAAATATAAGAAAAATTGAAAAAAAACTATCTATATATAAATGTGTAAAAATATTTATGAAATGGCTGCCTGCAAGTTTTCTGCTTATTATTATTATTATTATTATTATTATTATATTATTATTTTTTTTATCATTATTTTACCATCATTATATATATTATAATTATTGCTTCATTATCATAGACATCATTGTCATCATTATCATATGCTATCATGATTATCTTTATCAATCAATAGTATCACGATCATCGTAGTAATAAAAAACCTTTCGCGTGTTCGTATATTCAAATGAGCTTATACCCAGAGGACAATCCAAACTTCGSCAATTTTGCGAAACAAACAGAGTACATCCATTGAATAATTGTACTATTRAAAAGATTTTAATGCGGCTATTTTTAAACATTAATTAAAACGAGGCATCTTTTCTATTGTATTCGCCTTTTCTAGAAGATCCTTACTCTAATCTGCGTTATTCCCAGCGGACCCGAGTGGTCTGGTTCAAAGATAGCAGAATGAGAGTGACTAAATACTGACTAAATAAAACAATTTTCCTATTTACAATATGTTTGTAMTTTGCAATCGTGCACTGTTCTGTTAAAATCAGAATCAACATTTAAGAAGCGAAATTTAAGAAGCGTACGTGGGCATGTTCAATGTACCGCATCATTGAGTCAGTCATTTGAAGCAGCAATCGTAGAAATGTAAGAATTTGATACAAAAGACCGGTAAACCACAAATCCTATATTGTATCTACGAAATGGTAGTAAAAAAAATCAGAAGTTTATCTATTCAGTTCAAGCCCGTACTGTTCAACCACGTTTTATAAGGATGCCACTCAACCGTGTCTCGATTAAGTCTTTACAAGCTCTCCACCAATCGAATTTCTTATTTTTGGTTCTAATTGAACACGTGATAGTAAACCTGTCAATCACTTTGAAAACATCCGGGAGTTCAAACTGTGCGCAGGCACTTAGCTGTTCGAGGAAGGCAAAAAAAACAAGAAATGTTCTGGCGACTTTGTGCCGTAGTTTTGGCTTTTTCTTTCTCAGGTAGGTCACCATTGTGATACTCACTGTATTTAGTGTTCATTACGTTAACTTACTGTGTTCTCTTAGGGCTAAAACGAGTGTTTTTCAGAGCGTTATTACCGTATGTAACTGCTTATTTTTAACCATTGAACTACCAACACACTTAGTTGCAAATGGAGTTTCGGCTATACAAATGTACGATTTGTATTTTATCGATCTTCTATTTAATCATTTGTTTCGATAGATCGTTGATTGCTGTATTTTTAAAGATGTTTTTAGCGCSGTTGTCGTGTTCGAAGCTTCGTGACATTACAACAAATAATAAGATATATATGCTTGTTTACAAGTTCCAATTCTGATATCAATTCAAATCTTGTTCGCTACCAAGGAATCCTTTCTTGACTATCTGAGTGTTGCTGTTCGTCTAAGGCTTCTTTGTATTTGTATGCATCGCTGTATTTAAGCCATAGAAACCGAAGATCTCCCATTTCTGTCAATTCAACACGCCTCGATCATCCTCAGCRAGCGACGTCCGTCCGATATGATTGTAACATCTTAAAAGCATCAGAAAGCTTCGCTTCGTGAGCTCTTCAAACCTCTTGCCCACGGTTGCCCYCTCTATATTATTTAATGGGGACAGTTAAACTATTTCCGCAGAGAATAAACGTTTATAGATGTGAAGGTCAATTTTGAGATGATGTCGAAATGCGCGATCTTTCACGTACATGTAGTACGGTGTATATCCACACAAAACTGTCTTCCAAATTCCGACCGAGAATTTGCATGGAATCACGCTATGCATTTACATGCTTTTTGCGGGAGATTTTTTAGAGCTATTTTTGATTTTCCTATCGTGTAAACCTCAAAATATCGCTTTGTTTATTTTCTCTTGGCTTTTTCTTTGCACACAGTGCACCTAAACAGCGTGATGTTCGAAACGTTGGTCTTCGTGAAAAGTGCTTCTAGTATCGTCTTACAATGTGTTTAGCACTCTTTATGAACGTTTGAGAGTATTTTCTTTAAATGGAGTGACCTCAAGCAATGTCTTGGCCTGTGTTCAAACCGTTCGTTCGTTGATRCAATGTTTACATTTTTACTCATGGCGAAAGAGTGATCACGAAATGTTACTGTTGTCGATTTCACTTGTTGTATTGTAAATGTATTGATTTGTCTACATTTAGTACCAGTCATTGGTAGTCAGTAATGTTTGTGTGGTCTTGCACGTGCTGAAATGACACTCTGCTCCTCTCGTTCTTCGAGTGACTTACTGTTTGATAGAGCCCCAAAAGCGTCAGTGCTAGCGTTGGCTCCACTGATTTCATTGAAACCCATCCTTGCCCTAAAATATTGATGCGTTGGTGTTATTTTGTTATGATCGAATACAATTCAAAGTCAAAATGTGGAGTACAGCTATTCTTTCAGCAAACTTAAACATTCGCGATTATTATTATTATTATTTTGTATTTAGCTTTCCATTCGTCAAAGGTCACGTTAGAAGTGACCYTAGTGCGTTAGCATTGTCGTCGCGAACGGACTCACGCGAAATCTAGTTATTCACTGAATGTTTTATTTTTATCCTAATATCACGCTGTTGATGTGTTATCGATTCATGTTATTGTGTCTTTTTTTTGCGGACAATCCTGTGGCGGTTAACCGTAAAACGGCACTCAATTTTTATTTGGTTCGAGAATCGCTATCGACTGACGGGTTAAAGCGCCGATGATAATACGAAATTGTCATTATAATGGCGACACACGCTAAAATATTACAGTCATAATTTCTGTCAATTCGAAATCGAATTCATGCCAATTTTTTTTAAAAAAAACGGCATTGTTACATTAAAATTATATTCTATTAGCGATGATTGGTTGAAGCTGATTATGATATGAAAAATTATGCTGGGCTGGGTGGCTCTTATCCAGCGAATGAAGATGTATTTTTGAGCAGATAGCAGCATATAAGGATGATAACTCGTATCTTTCGATAACATCTTTAAATTGTTTTCTTATTCATTCAAAGAATGCATAAAAAACACACAATGTTTTTCTATGATACCACGGGAAACATTCACGTTGTATTAGTGCAACTTGAAACATAACTGCAAGATGTGTGAATGTGACAACTTATTTTTACTTTTATTGTTCAATCCTTATGTCAAGATAATCAAATACAAGAAAATATTTTCAATGAATAACAAAGTTAAATTCAACTTTACTGTTTCTTATTTGTTTGCATTTAAGCCACGTAACTGTAATGGATAGCAACTATTTTGCTGTAATTATGGTGGTTTAAATAAMGTTTTATTTTGAAAATGTGTTCACAGGATTTYAAGTTACACGTCAGAGTAAACAGTTGAACAGAATACTTGCCAACGTTGAATTTTGTGTRCTGACAAATATTATTTTGTGACATGGCTTTCATACCTTCCTTAGGGATATTAAATTTCATTGACTAAGAGATTTTGTTGTCTCACAAGACAACATTTTCTTGTTCTGAAATTTTATTCATCACAATAAAAGAAATATGATATGTCACCTATTTTAAGAAACATTGGATTAAACTGTATCCAGAGCTTAATGTGTGTTTTTTTTTAAGAATTTGTTGTCATTGGTGCTTTGAATGCATTTAAACTTGCACTTATAATAAGTGTTTTGTTGACGAGGATGTCCAAAAACCAACAAATGACCCTTGAAATCATGATGTTTTTCTTGGACCTTGTACTACATGTTATAATATCTAAGGTTTGATACACATAGTATTTTTTTATTAGCAGGCTAAGAATTTGGAAATATCTTACATGTATATTGTAGCCGCACTATACTATGTTATCTATGTACTTAAGAAATGTATAACAGCTGCTCATGAATGTCCTCTTACTAAAACAAGGTGAGAGGTATAGAGAGCAGAAAAATGCAGGAAGGATTTTTACTGGCTTCTTCAAATGCTCCCTACCTCACAAAATGCCTAGTGCCGATAGGAGATAGGCACTAGTRAACAGTAATAACCTTACATAACTGCACGTCCATGCCGATAAAACTATTTTCAAGATTATCATACTTATGTACACTCATTTTACTATRATCTTAAAAAACTATACATACTGCACAAAAGCATTTCATTTTCAAAATGTTTGATATTTATGAAAAGGTCAATAATGTTATATATGTAATTTTTTTCTAACTTCTCTCTCTCTCTCTGTAGGTGGCCAATCTACAAGCAATTGTTATTACCATCAGTCATCATCCCACACTAATAATCATTGTAATGAGACCATTCCTTGTTCGAGGAAAAATGCCCCTGGCCATTGCTTTGCACTATGGCAAAATAGCTCAAAAGGGATAGTAATCTTGAATAAGGGTTGCTGGTTAAAAAATCCCAGAGAATGTCGCAGTGATAGTAAGTGTGTTGGTACTCTTCGACAAAAGGATCGCAAACAGTATTATTTTTGCTGTTGCACTGGCGACTACTGCAATGGGAACATTTCCATAGGCCACAAAAGTAAACAAATTGGTTTACATACTAAAGAGCCACCTGGAATTGGTAAGTTACTTTTCTAAAACACTTTCTTTTGATTAATATGTWATGTCAGTCATCAGTAACCATCTGGACAGAAGGGGCGAATGGGTAATGTAAGATGTGCCGGTATCTTTTCATCATTTGAAGATRTGAAGTACCTTGTAGAGACTGTATTTGAATCAATATTTGCTATAAAAAAGCAAAAAGTAAACAGTTTAAGCCATGACRGGTATGGGAGTGTCATGTGTTTTCTAAATAAAGATTTGATGATTTAGATAAGGCTTCTCGTTAACCTGTGTTATAACTCTCTTGGCCAAAGGTGTGAAGTGTTATGGGAGGAAAAATAGTCCTCTAACAAAATCCATTTTACTTTCAGTTCAAACATCTCCTTCATCTTCCATTGGAGTGTCAACAACAGATGAAAATAGTGGAAACAATGACAACCTAAAAACCTTACTCTACTCCATTGTTCCCATCTTTGGCTTAGCTTTGGTGTTAGCTTGCTGTTTGTTTATGTACCATCACCAAAAACAGACAAGATTCATTCCAGGGTTGACTGAAGAAGAAACACTGAATTTACATCAACCACCATCCCCAGTCCTTAGCTCCAGACCAATTCAAAAATTGGAAGTGATTTCACAAAGTCAAGGTGGCATTATTGTGTGGAAAGCAAAGAGTTATCTTGAGACAGTAGCAGTAAAAGTATTTCCAGAACATGAGAAGGGAGCATGGATAAATGAAAATGACTGCTATACTCTTTGTAACTTAAGCCATGAAAACATCCTTCGTTTTATAGCTGTAGAAAAACATACTGAGGGAATATATACAGAGTATTGGCTTATCACAGAGTTCCACATGTATGGCTCATTATCAGACTATTTAAAACAGCATATTTTGAGTTGGGCTGACTTGTGTCAGCTAGCAAAGACACTTGCATGTGGGCTGGCATATATACATTCTGAGGTCAAGTCTGCTAACTTCTACAAGCCTTGTATAGCACATAGAGACGTGAAAACCAAAAATATATTAGTTAAAAGCGATTTATCATGCTGTATTGCTGACTTTGGGCTTGCTTTAAAGTTTGATGAGATTGAAAGTCCAGGAGAAATGCATGGGCAGGTAATATTAGAAACAGTGTCAAGTACATTGCTTAGAATAGTTAATAATACCTATAAATATATGGATTATTTTAGGTTGGAACCAAGCGTTACATGGCCCCAGAAGTCCTAGAAGGTGCCATTTTATTTACAAAGGAGTCATTTCTCCGAATAGACACATATGCTTTAGGGCTTGTTTTGTGGGAACTTGCAACTAGGTGTTCAGTAGTTGATGGTAAGTAAATAGCAGTGAGAGTGGTTTACAGCCCTGGCTGGATTATTAGTATATCTTCTAATTTTAAAATAAAATATCAGATATTCAGACCTCTTTAGTAATGTTGTGGGAATAAATGTACTTGTAAGAAAGTTACACAWTAAGATGAAATTTCATTTGCATTTGCAATGGTTTTGTTGCATGTTGTAGTTTAATATGTTTGCTTCACTTTAGGGTCAGTAGAAGACTACAGACTTCCATTTGAAGAAGAAGTAGGGCTACATCCCTCRCTAGAAGATATGCAACAAGTCGTTGTCCAGCAAAGAATGCGTCCTTGTATTAGAGAAGASTGGAGAAAACATACTGTGAGTTACAATGCATCACGTAATATTTTGCTTCATTTTGCTGTTYTAYTCTAACTTTGTACATGAAGTGCATAGCAGTCATCTTTTCTGGATTTGCAAGTATGAATCAAACTTATACTGGACATAGCTAATAATACYGTTAGGACTATAACAGAAGACATAAATAGATTTAGTAGAACTAATATCTGTAATTCCGATGTGTTCCATTTTGCCAAAATGTACTTCTGTGTATTATMCTCTGCCTTTGCTTCTGTGTAAACGTTTCAAAATATCATCTAAGTCCTACATTTCTCAGAGTTCAAGATGAGTAAAAAAACCTTCTTGTTTGCTTGTTTATATAGGGGATGGCATCCTTAGCACAAACCATTGAAGAATGCTGGGATCAAGATGGAGAAGCAAGGCTAACGGCACAATGTGTAGAGCAACGAATATGTCATTTTGCTGGCTACAATAATAGCAACAGTCAAAGTGGGACAGACCAGGTACCATCAGTAACTTTCAACTACACATCAAACAGTTCTCATAATGAATCAAGCATCTGAATGACTGCAAACTATTTAGTTTGCAGAATATTATTGAGAAAGTTTTAAATGATGTGTTTGTGAGATTTGTAATATATAAACTTATCATACCCCACCAAAAMACAAAAATGACCATGTACTAGCCCACCTGCAGTCAAAACAACTGTTGTGTATGCTGTATGCAGGATACCATGTACTTTATTCAGTAACCTAATAATTATACAAGGGAAATTAAGAACAAAAGTGATAGCCCAGCAGTTGGTACTAAAATCATTTTCTGGGACTTTAGGTTCCAGAATTTTAATTAAGCTTAAGTGATCCATCAAAATGTGTTAAAGAAATAACACAGTTTATCCAACAAATTTAAAGGTTTTTTACCTTTATATGATAGAAACAGTCGTATGTAAATATGGTCCTAGGTACTATAGAAGAGTGATAAATCATATGCACTTGGATTGTCTTAGCAGAAACCATGTTGGGATGCTTGTGTGACGAATATGTGTGCGATTTTATCGACTAAGCTTATAAGTTACTAGTTATTTTAGCAGTGAGCTTATAATTAAGTTATTTAAATTGTAAACAATAATTTGTTCTTACCTCAGAGTGAATTTCCTGATATTGTGTCATAAATTCCCTTGTTTTCAACCCTTTTTGGGTTGATGAGAAGCCAGGAAAAATATATATGGCGTCGGAACTAGTCGGAGAAAGTACGCTCAAAAAAGCTGTATAGTCATTACCATTCTATCACATGTTTTTAGCACACAGGCATCCCAAAATCCCACATAAAATGTATCTATGTCAAAGGTGTTTATTATTGTATTATCTGGTTTTCTTGATATCCTATTTAATTGGTACAGTATATTTGACGTTGATCGTGTAAGATCATCAATCCATTCGCTCTGCCATTAGTCTGCAAAAAAAGCTTTTTGCATCTGTTTTGGCAATGAGAAAGGTAACACCTTTTACAGGCCTAACGTTGTGAAGCTAACTAAATAATTGCGCGTTTGTTTGCRAGCCAGAAGCTTAGGATATCGAAAGATTTCAAACTGGCTTAACACAGAAGGTCGACCCAGCCAGCCTGCAATTATTTATTTAGGTAGTMTATCACAATATAATAAATTATTCGGTGCATGCATCACTATACAATATATATCATAACCCGTACATATTACCTGGCATATCCACTCTTACATTGAACCATGCTATATTTTCAATGGTCAATGACTATTTCACATGTATCAAGCCGGCTATATAAGGTTTTCGTTTTCTCACAGTTGTACTTAGGCACAGTGGAGTCTACAGACCGCCGTAATTCCGTACGACCGCAATACTCACACGGGCGCATACGAAATCCCCGGGGGGGGACTCCCTAATATCAAAGAGCGGGGGTCCTCGGCGGAGATTGTGAAAATGACCCCTAAAAGGGACCTCTATTGTGAGATGATGGGCGTGGCAGTGCTGAAATTTCAACCCTAAAAGGGACCAATCAATAACAGGTCATTTTGTTTTGGTTTACCGATTTTATTTGTGTTTTTACACAATCATCGAACACCGTCGGCTCGTATTGATTTTATGACAACGTTGCCATTTTATGACTGCTTAGGGTTGCCGTATACCCTAAAAGGGACCACAAAACACAGTTGGTAGGAATTCTTGTCATGATCACCCTAAGCGGGACCAAAATACTGATTTCAAACCCTAAAAGGGACGCCGAGGACCCCCGCCCTTTGATATTAGGGAGTCCCCCCCCCGGGACGAAATCCCCACGGCTGAAGCCACCGACTGAGTCTAAGTTTGACCTAATCTCTGGATAATCCAGGCAGTTATTGAAAATAATAATATTATACAAATATTCATGTCATTAATAATTTTTGGTTGTACATATGTACATATTTAGGCTTTTGCCTTGTGGTACGAAGCCGAAAACTATACTTTTCAAATGATTCTATTAGTAATCCACCAATGAAGCAGTTTTGAATTCCTATACTATATGCAAGCCAATGCTTTTGTTTTGTATTCTTAATAAAACTCGATCGATAGTGAAAATGATAAAAAAGGACAGTTTTAAAGCGACACCGAGTGAGGCTGTTAATTTTCTTGATTTTCAAGAAGAAATTTAAGCGGATTATAAGCGCGAAACTTAATGCCAAAAATGATGATAGTTTAGTTTTTAGTGCAGGGTGTATTTCAAATCGGAGAAGCATTGTTGGRTTTAAAACGTTGGCTGCGCAGATCATAGAAGCTTACCTTGTGAGTAAAGTCTGGGTTTACCTACTCCCCTCAGTCGAAGAGACGCGAGACAGACATTGCTCACTTGAACGATAGACCAATTTGGCCATTATAATAACGATTTATTTAATTCCATATAATATGATATCTTTTAAATATATTTTATTATCATTAAAGTTTAGTAATACTACCATTACAAATAGCCAATCATTCAACAAGTGATATCAGCTTCTATGGCAATGTCTTGGGTCACCTGACTGAACGTTTGACTATGACAGCGTTTCTCCTATTTGAAGTATATGCTAAATGTAGAAGTATTGATAGGTTTTTGATATTTTTAATATGTAATTGTTTTAACAATATATTATTTTTATATTTTAACTAGTTTTAACATAAAATTAAATCGTAGTATGCTTAGAATATCCTGATTGTTCAAGGATGGTGCTCCCTTCCAAACAACTTGTTCTTGTTACTTTTTTATGTATCATAAAACTGTATGCGTCCAATCGGTATTGGACGCGTCAGATGACATTTAAAACTATTACCAAACTAATATTATTACCAAATATAGATATCATTTATTTATATAGTAATGACCGTATTTAGTTGTAACCAAAACAGTCGTTTGTAGTACTACTATTCCTAAATCAAATTGCAGGAACACGTGTAAAAGGGTTAATGTTCCATCGCTATAGAGTGGTTTCGGAAAACCCGTGAAATAGATATAAATCCTAATACACTGCTAATAGATCTTAGTAATCGCTATCCCCATTGGYTAGAGATTTTGTTTCACGGGTTTAATGTTTTCACTCTATACAGCTATTTAATAAGCGGGTTGTGTATTAGCCTCCTTCGTAGCTTTTCTTGTTGCACAGAAATTCTGAAACAATTTGAACAGATGCGAAGGATACTAGTTGTTCATCGCTTATTAGGCAGGAGACTAGTTGTGCATCGCCTAGTAGGCATTACCGACGTACCGCCCTTAATTAGCGGCAACAGCCCGTATTTAATGAKCTGTAAASTATCTTCCTTCGATCGCAGATGTTCCAAGAAYCACACTTTGAATACCAGRCGATAATATGGTCTAACACGGGTTATTAACTTTTAAATCCCTTCTGAGTTTCAGAGAACAAATGATGACCATATTATACGACTGCATAGAGGTCTTTAGRACACGAGTCCATTAGTCACTGGAGCTCGTTAGGTCTACATTTTTCGGACCTTTACAAATTTGATACTCAAGATTTCATAAGATTCGTGAACGTAGTACTACCATACGTTTTCTAACGTACACATWCGTACGTTACGTAATCCAGGCAGCAGTTTGCTGAGTACGGTCCAACATTACGTGAACATTATATACCACATGTAATAGAATTGATATGACATAACATTAAACATGTATTCCAATAATATTATGTATTATTTATTTTTAGCATTAGTGATCTCTCCTGATTTTTGCGTTGTTRCCCGATTCTTCCTCGCTTTGGTGCAAAAACAAAGGCTCCTCACGCAACTTGTTTTCTAAACGCTAAGACACCAAAATCCCKGAATCCACCAAAATGGAATCAGGATGCATCCTAGTTCAGTTGTTGTCGCCCAAAATGAATCCGTTTACAATTGGGAAACACTATTTCAAGTCACTAATATGGATTCCGGATTCCGGATTTTTTTTGGTAACGGCTTGGAGAACACAGGGAGTCGTGGTACTTGCCAAAATGACCACGCTACCTCCATTTTTTCATAGTGATGTTATGCACACTAGATTGAAATAAGATCTGTTGTTTTTGTGATTGATTGACCACAGCCTTATCTCTAATTGGTCGACAYGAAATCCCGCTTTGTTCAAACATAAAGCTTCTTTGAAGAGGTCCTGAATATTATCTCGACCGGTGGTGAGTGTAACTGACTGGAACGAGTTTTCATCTACTGAAACAACAAGGTTTCGTAACAGCGTTGACAACTTGTTTGTACAAGAAACTAGCGACAAACCGTTCTCACTCGTAAGTAAAATGACATGGCAATATTCAGTGCTTCAAAGTTTATGCACACATTTGAAGTGGCATGATCATGGCGCAAAAAGGACCGAGTCAGTGAGTGATATTTGCCTGTATGCAACAGCTATTTATGTGCGCCTAGAAAACGTTTTTAACGAAAATATACCGCCTTATTGATCTTATCCAGCTACTAAATGCATGAGTTGTAAATACTAAATGAATGTATGATCTTATTATTGTGTCAAAAAAGTGATGCATGTATGTTGAGCGTCTCAAGTAAGCAAAGACCGCGCTAGGGGCATCTACCTGCATCGAGGCCTTGCTTCCACACTAGAATTAGATGATAACAAGCCGAGGGGCTGTYAGTCAATATTCACCTTGTTTACAGCCTTTGGTCATACCTTTTGTGTAAAATGTACACTGAATGAATCAATTACAAAAATTTCATTAACTCATAAACGGCCATAGGTCAGATAGGTCTAATAGGTCCCTATACCGGTAAGCAAATGCGGCCCGTATAGGCCTCCAGGAACCTACAGTAAACTTTATGCAAGGAATTAAATCCCGCGTAATTGCATTCTGATGATTGCTATGATAATACATTTTGCATGTCTTTTAAAAGGGAAAATGCATTGTTCAATGTATTATTGCTTGTCCTTGCTCTGCTGTTTTACCATTGGCACACTTGGAGCATCAAGGTAAGATATGTAGTATTATGGCAGTTATGGAAATCTTTTGTCTCCTCTCTTATGCATGAGGCTACATGGTTCCCAGTTCTCTTCCTCTAACATTTAATTTTAGAGTTTTTGTGAAAATAAAGATCTGATCCGAAAACTCCCGAACTCAACTCCAGTTTTCCAAAAAAAACATTTGTGAATACTCCCTGACTATTTCTTCACAAATTYATCTCACGAAAGGGCATAACTGATCCTCAAAGTAAATCACAAGATTTAATAAATTTAATTTTCATAATTGTCATGATCAAAAGCCTTGACATTTTTTCAAATTGGACAAATTAATTATTCGAATTTCATAAGGCGCGTCGCCTCTGGACGCACGACGGGTGAACTCTGTGAGCAAGATGGGAAACACTAAAGGAACAGCCATTGTACATATTAGCTCTATAGCACTATTGTATATTAATACCCTTTTTTATTTCATAACAATAGTAAATTCAAACGAAGGTGAAAACACTGTCCTTTATTAACAATCCCCTAATCTGACTAACGTATTTTGTACACGTACAGACGCGGTGACAACCTCCAATGGGCATCGCCTTCTATCCTCCTTAAAAACTCTCGAAACTCTATTAATTAAATGTTATACTAGAAACTTGACCCTGCCGTATATATATTGGAATAGCATTATATGACTTTAGCAAAATAACTTTCATATTACACGCGTTCTGATTGGCCAAAAAGCCGTGTTTGATGAGAGCATAATACACGCTCGCGTCATTTTTTTTTTCTCGGCTTTTTTTTTCATGAATATTTGAGCGCTTTTTATTTCATAAAAGCAATAAAAAACAGTTTTCCGTGTATTATACTCTGACAAAAACACTTGTGATGTGGAGAGAACACTCGAGAAGCTGGAAACCACCTCGCTTCGCGTCGTGCGTTTCCTACGCTTCTCTCGTGTTCTCCCTACATCACGCGTGTTTTTATCAGAGTATAATACACGGAAAACTKTTTTTTATTCCTTAACTAAAACATGAGATAATGCTCCGATTTACAATAATCGCCTCGACTTTACTGAAAACGTCTCGGAAGATTGGCGAAAAATAGACGCGGCGTCCTAGAGATGAATATATCTCTGATTTGTTTATGAAAACGATATACAACGACAAACTCAAAACTATGAAGATGTTTACAGAGAGAATGTCCCTAGGTAGCAGGAAGGGCTTTTTTTGTTTTGTAAACAAGTACAACAAATAGTCAGACCTACCACCTGGGGCACTCTTCATCCTATACAATGGTCTCTTATGGTGTTCATCGTTTTCACGTCGTGCTTTTGTTTTTACAAAGTCGCGTCATATAAAGAATTAAGTACAGAACGAATCTCAAGAGCATGTTGGCACCATTAGATAATATATTGATAATATTTTAAAATATTAAAATGTTACTTATCCCAAAACACTTTCAAGTCCGATGACTAGATGATAATGATGGTGATGATAATGTCTGAAATCATCACGTAATTCATATATCCACACGGCTGATATAGTCTTTTTTTGTAGTATTATCTTCGGCCACCAAAGAGATGTCGCTAAATCGTCAGCAAATGGCTTCGTGCCGTTGAAAATCGGCGGGTTCAACATCCAAGTGTTTGGCACAAAGAAAATGTCCAATAAAGCAATTAAAGACCTTTTAGTCAAGGTTGGTAAAACCACTGTTTGATATCTTTATTGTATTAACATTTATAATTAAAAACATACTTTTTATTATTATCAAAAATATAAACTTATATCAACTAAATTATCACCTGATGCCGCCTGGTCATGAAAGTCTTTAAGATTGTTGTAACAGTCCCAGTTGAAAGAGTCTGTAAGAGTTAGTAATATATATAAGAGTCCCAATAAGTGGCGCAGAGTCCATGAGGAACAAAAAAGAGTTGCAGCGCAAGAATGAAACTTTCAGTGTCAGTGCGCGCATTTAATTTGGAGAACGAATAACTAAGCTGATAGCATGCGCAACAGAGAACACAGTTGTAAAGTAAAGACAAATGGAATATGAAAAATGAAAGAATGATAAAGAGAGACATAAAAACAAGGGATTTAWGTYTAAAKTCTTCGTTTTKCGCAAAGAGGGAGCAGGAATATCAATGAAACCATTRGAATTRCTCAGTACTTATTGATTTATCTTTCTTAAGATTATTCTGCGCTATGACATTTTGCTCGTCCAAGAAATCCGTTCGACTACAGACACAGCTATAAACGAATTAATGAAAGCCCTTAACAGGTATGACTGACAACGTTCCGAATGATATTCAACAAAGACAAGCTGTGGAAGAAAGGAAAATAATGCGTTGACGAGATCAGTTATTGAGATTATATAATCATTTATTATGTCATTTCTCTTCAGTGCTTCTGAACCAAAGGGCATTTATTCCATGAAACTCAGCAGAAGACTTGGTCGAACAGCCAGCAAAGAACAATATGCGTTTCTATACAGGTTAGAGTKTGGTTCAATAGTACTTTCACTGCTATAGSCGTCAGGTTGATAACTTTGCACATATTGCAGGACAGACAAAGTCCAGGCTACCGCCAGCTACGTGTATACCGAAATTGCTGGCAAAGATGCTTTCCAGAGGGAACCTTATATTGTCAAGTTCAGAGCTCCAAACGCATGTACGTTTGACTTTCTCTATGAATTCCRTTYCGATTSTGATGCAGTAATTGCCGTTCTATATYTTATAAACATGTTTTGTTACTTTATCAAATAAGAAATTCACTTTGATTTAGTGCGCGCGTTTTTCATGTCGATCGTTGTTTCCATAGATCTAAGAGAGTTCGCTCTTGCTGCAATTCATACTCAGCCATCAAACGCACCGTCTGAGATTGACCACTTAGTCGATGTCTATGACGATATCGTTAAAAGATTYGGAATAAAGGATGTCATGATACTGGGAGATTTTAATGCCGGTTGCAGTTACGTCACCAAAAGCGAATGGAAGCAAATTCGTCTGGCTACAGATCATCGCTTTTACTGGTTGTTCACTAATGACGAAGACACGACAGTCTCTAAGTCAGATTGTCCTTATGACAGGTATATACGTTGATTGGGTTGTCTTCTGGGTTCTGCGCATTCATTCATTCATATTTGCCCTTCATTTCAAATTGGCCTTTCTTCGCGAAATTCAAAGAAAAGGACTGGAAGCGAGTATCGGAAATTGCGCCATCTAACTTAAAGCAAAAGTTGCAAAATTTGATTGCAATGCAGACAACATTTCATTTGCTATTTATCTATGGTTTGAAATTGAATTTTTTTTCAGTTCTTAGAAAGTTTTATGTTAATGGCTTAAGTCGTTTTGTACCTACGTTTTTGTGATTGATTCTAAGTTATTTGCTCTCATTTAGAATGGTAGTTGCTGGGGACATGATCAAGGCAATAGTACCGAAAAGTGAAAAAGTKTACAATTTTGCTAATGCATATCACTTGACTCAAAAAGAGGTAATTCTTTTGGTTTTCTCCTTGGTGTTTCATACGTACTTCAGGATTTGCTTTATGATTTGCGAGGCGGTATAATCTAGAAAAACACTGTATTTTTAGGCTGAATTGGTGAGTGATCACTGGATCATAGAAGCTAAACTGAAAGATAAAAGTAAGTTMATTGTGATGAAGAAGTACCTTGCGCCGTGAGATCACAGCGTGGGGGCGTTGGGGAGGGGGGGGGGGTGATTATGATGACCCCCATAGGCCAAATACGCCTGGCGCGCGCGTTCTATAATCTTTTATATGTTTCTCATATTACACTTCTTACAGCATTTGCTTTTATCAATGAAAGGCTACCTGATAGAGGARAACAATTTCAAGAGTGAACTCACCCTGACTGTCATCGACAAACGCAATGRAGCGCTTACTAAGCGTCTCATATATCAAATGAGAAGCAGSCGAARCCGCGTCTCTAAAATCTTCACCGMGTCCACTTCATATAAACGAAGCGGAGGAATTGCTGAGATTTCRCTMACAAAGAAAGCCAACAGCCTCGAAAACGCCAAATTTGCTGTTGAYGATCTGCGAAAGTACCTKCCAAAGCTTGTATCTGATTATCAAGTGATCATATCAACCAGGAAGCTCAAGCGTTTTATGGAGAAGATAGAAAAGGCTTGCCAAGTAGAAAAAAGCATGGCCAATGAGTTTSAATATCAGGTCATCGGTGATGGATCTTGTKCACATGATTTTAAGCTWGATTCAGTYGCACTTAAGTGCAATGTTGATAATCTGATTTGTCAGTTGGATTTCATATTTGTGTAAATCATAGCTACTCATACCATTGCAGACAAGAATCCTTGTTTCTTTTTATCATTATTATTTTGTTGTTGTTGTTGTAATTTTAGCACTAATCGTCATASTTTACACTTGAGTTCTGACATTTGAAAAGATCACGAGCCCGCTCCTGAAAAGATAGAGTTATTATATATAATATGGACTGCTGCCATAAACCCGTTGAATTCAGCTTCAGTTTAAAGTTGCAATTGCATACCCACAATACACTTTGGTCTGAACTTTGTGTGTATATTCGACTCTATGAATGTGGTTTTATAAGCAAAAAGCGTTATTTCTTATAATGAATGTTGTAAAAGCACTTTTCTAATAAAAGATTTTAAATCACTCTYACAGCATAAGCACTTTAGTCCAAATTCATCACTTACAGATATATACAATTGCCGTTGTATTATTTTCAAATGAGCTTGATGTTATTGCAATAGCTATATGCGAACAAAAAATAGTTTTGGGAATATGAAGTCCTTGTAAATCCGCACAACATTGAGACACTATGAAGAACAGGCGCGCTTTGTAAAGTGTATGAGTTTGGGATGCCTCTATGTAGACAGAACGATGAGGGATTGGGCAGAGTTATTGTAACAAAATGGCGGGCTATTAAAGTATCAATAACTCAAAATTTATACGGTATTGAAGAAACTCTTGCCTCTCCCAACTATTGTTAATGATAGATATCAGTCATGGCTTCAAGTGAAGAATGGAATGTGCCTAATAGTGACGACGAGAGAGACAAAGAGCTTGTTTTAACATCACAAAACGGTGAAAACAAAGATGACATCCCAATCAAGGTTTTGGAATACTACGAAGAAATCGAGAAAAACAAAGTGTTAGAACTTAAAGTAGAAGAATTTAGAAAGATTGTTCCTGTTTTGAAGGATAACTCGAAAGATATTGATGGTTGTGGAGTGAACGAGCGAAAAAATGATGTAAAATGTGAGGAAGATAACACTGACAAATCTAAAGATGCCATTGTCATTGAGGACGATGAAGACAAAAAAGAAGACAAAAGGTACCTTAGAATGAGGATGCTAAGCTCAGTATAGTGTATCCAGGGGTAGATTTATATGGTGGATGTATACCCCTTAATACTGAGACCTTTTCAGTCAGTGTGTCTGCTTGTCAATCATTTTTGGAGTACACCAAAAATCCTAGTTCTTCCCCTGTTTTCCACATTGTTGTTGTATTAACCACTGCTCTTTTACAGGGCAAATGAACCATCAGAATTTGATGAATTYGATGAGCCTGAGGAATGCCAAGGACACATACCAAAGAGAACGCCGAAATCTGGTAATAATACATGTACTGACGTATTAAGAATTTTCCACCAAATGCTTTGACCTTGCTTRATCCTTGGTAGCCTTTCTTGTCTCCTTTCACAATTCCCAACCCCCTTTTATCCTCCCTTCACCAGGTTGTATTTGGCCTCCCTCTTTGCTTTAAGTGATCAGAGCATTGCATGTTATACAATTACTGCACAAAAATCGCCCCGTGTAAGAGAATCCGGAATCCGGAATCCAGTAAAAATGAAGCTTTGGAATCCGGAATCTCTATCCTGGAATCCGGAATCCCTGTCCTGGAATCCGGAATCCAAATATTTGGAATCCAGAATCTGGAATCCAGAAAAAAAATTGAAATCTAAAAACACATATCGTCACGCTGACAAACAAGCGAAAATCGGGCCGAGTCCTTCTATTTGCTTTAGACATGAACTAGTGGTTACTCAGTGTGTTCTCACACATTGCGGCTTGTCTTAATTTCATTCAAATTTCGTTTTGTTTTAATTTTTGTTGTCTGGCGATAAAAAATATACTGAAAAAAATCGCGCGCTTTAAAGGTTATAAATTTGATGTATTTATGATGTAAGTGTCCAAAATGATGTAAAATTTACATCATTAGTTTTGGACACTTACAACATGTTTCCATCAAATTTACAACCTTTAAAGTACGCGATGTTTTATTCCAGTGATACTTTCCTTATGTCATCCTTACATGGACAGTACRGTAATATCCGAGCAAGAGCAGATTCTAAATATACTTTCAAAAACTCATTAATTATTCATGAGGTATTCAGCCAATCCCTGATTGTAATTTGTACCACGTGAAGTAACTAACGCCTCGGACTGGAACTAATTGCKCGGACTTTGAAACCCCGTCAAGTCCTCATTGTCGGCCTTTAAACATTACTTCTACCTTTTTCAAGTTACTTCTACATGATTTCCAGCTATTTCTACCTTATTTCCAGTKACTTCTATCATGTTTCCAACTACTACTAGCTAATGATAATCAAATTATTAGAAATAWTCAGTTTAACATTAATTTAGTGAAAAAAGGTCTTTGGTACATGACTCCCTCACGACTCGATCCCCTACYGTCCAGTCTATATGCGCCGTCTTATACCATTACACCACCGAGTTTCTGWTGCRATTCCTCGCAGATAATATACTTATAAATCTTATGGATTAGGCTCATTAGGAATGCCATGAATAGCAGACAACGACAACTTGAATAGCTTTTGTTTCAGAAAGCCGTCAGGGAATTGAAGAACAACAAACGGTGCTTCATGTATCCAAAATTATGAAAACTGAAAACCTTGGTGGAGATGCAATAAATCAATAYATTTCTGTTTTTACCCCTCCCGAATAATTAATGAGTATGAGAAGTCGTTCAAAGTCCTCCAATTCGGACTGGACGGGATTTCAAGTCCTTGCAATTAGTTCCAGTCCTCGGCTAACGCCTCTGACTGGAACTAATATTGCGCGGACTTGAAATTCCGTCTAGTCCTCATTATCGGACTTTAATTAAACATTATTTATTGACCTCAATATTATCAAAATCTTTTTAACCGTATGAAACTGTTTGTTAAGAATAATAACTGTTTAAACAAATTATATGCTCATTTTGCATCGATAACTGTAACAAGGGCACTTGAATCATTTACGCGTTTGCCTAAATTGTTTCGAGAAATCAAGTGCTCCTTCTTGCTTGATAATGTGGCATTTGAGAGTATGACCACTTTATCTTTGGAAAGTTTCTTAAAAGGCATGAGAGCTGATCATGACATGCCGACTGTCGCTCAATATGGCTACAGAATATCGCGTTGCGTGGAAGACAATGCTTCGCATTCATGACAAAAGCACTTTTCGTACTTCACTGGACCAAACTCCCATTATCCAGAAAAAGTCATTTGTAGGGAGCCTCCAAATTTGGAAATCCGAAAGAAAAAAAAAACCGAAGGCGTCCCATAGGGAGAGAATATGGTAGAGGCACACGACAGGAGAACGTCCGCTCCAAAACAAAAGTTGGTGCATTGCCTTATGCGTTGAGATCGTGACCACACCCATAACGTCGTCGACGACTGTTTAACTCAAGATGCGTCTGCAGCGGACAAAGGYGCAGTCCTCTTTTGTATATTCACACGAAACACAGGAAAGAAGATTTAGTGTTAATTATAGATACAACTGTAAAAGAGAGAGCTGTCCTTATTGGCTAGGAATATTGAGCGAAACAAACATAACCACAAAAATTAGCTAGTCCTTTAAAGACACAATCAGAAATTATTGGAAATGGATACTTAGAAAGATTCGACTTTTATCGGTGTAAATCTAGCTGTCTAGAGATGGAAACGTACATCCAGTTGTTCGTATAGCATGTATATATGCTGCACTTTACTGTACTTCATATATGTAGTTTGTTTGTGAGCGTGCGGCAAATATTGGAGACAGTGCAAATTAGTGACGCGCTGGCCTGCGTTGCCGGCGGCCTGCGCAGGCTACTGACACGCTGAATATGAAATTTTCAGGAAAAAAAAAAACACTGAAAATCACGCCATTTATTATCCGGAATCCAAAACAAAATTTTTTTGGAATCCGGAATCCCAAGGTTTGGAATCCGGAATACCATGTTTTGGAATCCGGAATCCAGCGCTTGGAATCCGGAATCCTCTAGTTCTCTGGATTCTCTTACATGGGGCGACAAAAAGGGTGATTGCATAGGTGCGATTGGTGTGAGTGATTTTGATTTGCCTAATGCCAAGGGTCTTTTTATGTTGTTAGGAAGATTACCCAAGAAACGTGTTGGTACTTTAAAGAATGTTATCTCAAATCTAAAGCGATTTAGGGAAATGGACAATGTTTCTGAAGGCAAGGATACCAAGACAGATTCATTTGAAGAAGGNACGAAATCCCCACGGCTGAAGCCACCGACTGAGTCTAAGTTTGACCTAATCTCTGGATAATCCAGGCAGTTATTGAAAATAATAATATTATACAAATATTCATGTCATTAATAATTTTTGGTTGTACATATGTACATATTTAGGCTTTTGCCTTGTGGTACGAAGCCGAAAACTATACTTTTCAAATGATTCTATTAGTAATCCACCAATGAAGCAGTTTTGAATTCCTATACTATATGCAAGCCAATGCTTTTGTTTTGTATTCTTAATAAAACTCGATCGATAGTGAAAATGATAAAAAAGGACAGTTTTAAAGCGACACCGAGTGAGGCTGTTAATTTTCTTGATTTTCAAGAAGAAATTTAAGCGGATTATAAGCGCGAAACTTAATGCCAAAAATGATGATAGTTTAGTTTTTAGTGCAGGGTGTATTTCAAATCGGAGAAGCATTGTTGGRTTTAAAACGTTGGCTGCGCAGATCATAGAAGCTTACCTTGTGAGTAAAGTCTGGGTTTACCTACTCCCCTCAGTCGAAGAGACGCGAGACAGACATTGCTCACTTGAACGATAGACCAATTTGGCCATTATAATAACGATTTATTTAATTCCATATAATATGATATCTTTTAAATATATTTTATTATCATTAAAGTTTAGTAATACTACCATTACAAATAGCCAATCATTCAACAAGTGATATCAGCTTCTATGGCAATGTCTTGGGTCACCTGACTGAACGTTTGACTATGACAGCGTTTCTCCTATTTGAAGTATATGCTAAATGTAGAAGTATTGATAGGTTTTTGATATTTTTAATATGTAATTGTTTTAACAATATATTATTTTTATATTTTAACTAGTTTTAACATAAAATTAAATCGTAGTATGCTTAGAATATCCTGATTGTTCAAGGATGGTGCTCCCTTCCAAACAACTTGTTCTTGTTACTTTTTTATGTATCATAAAACTGTATGCGTCCAATCGGTATTGGACGCGTCAGATGACATTTAAAACTATTACCAAACTAATATTATTACCAAATATAGATATCATTTATTTATATAGTAATGACCGTATTTAGTTGTAACCAAAACAGTCGTTTGTAGTACTACTATTCCTAAATCAAATTGCAGGAACACGTGTAAAAGGGTTAATGTTCCATCGCTATAGAGTGGTTTCGGAAAACCCGTGAAATAGATATAAATCCTAATACACTGCTAATAGATCTTAGTAATCGCTATCCCCATTGGTTAGAGATTTTGTTTCACGGGTTTAATGTTTTCACTCTATACAGCTATTTAATAAGCGGGTTGTGTATTAGCCTCCTTCGTAGCTTTTCTTGTTGCACAGAAATTCTGAAACAATTTGAACAGATGCGAAGGATACTAGTTGTTCATCGCTTATTAGGCAGGAGACTAGTTGTGCATCGCCTAGTAGGCATTACCGACGTACCGCCCTTAATTAGCGGCAACAGCCCGTATTTAATGAKCTGTAAASTATCTTCCTTCGATCGCAGATGTTCCAAGAAYCACACTTTGAATACCAGRCGATAATATGGTCTAACACGGGTTATTAACTTTTAAATCCCTTCTGAGTTTCAGAGAACAAATGATGACCATATTATACGACTGCATAGAGGTCTTTAGRACACGAGTCCATTAGTCACTGGAGCTCGTTAGGTCTACATTTTTCGGACCTTTACAAATTTGATACTCAAGATTTCATAAGATTCGTGAACGTAGTACTACCATACGTTTTCTAACGTACACATWCGTACGTTACGTAATCCAGGCAGCAGTTTGCTGAGTACGGTCCAACATTACGTGAACATTATATACCACATGTAATAGAATTGATATGACATAACATTAAACATGTATTCCAATAATATTATGTATTATTTATTTTTAGCATTAGTGATCTCTCCTGATTTTTGCGTTGTTACCCGATTCTTCCTCGCTTTGGTGCAAAAACAAAGGCTCCTCACGCAACTTGTTTTCTAAACGCTAAGACACCAAAATCCCKGAATCCACCAAAATGGAATCAGGATGCATCCTAGTTCAGTTGTTGTCGCCCAAAATGAATCCGTTTACAATTGGGAAACACTATTTCAA